TGAGGCACAGAGAGATTAAGTATCTTGTCTAAGATTGCACAGTTAGGTAAGTGCTGAAGTTGGAATTAAGACCAACGCAGTCTGAGTCCAGAGTCTGTGTTCTGAGCCACTCCCCTACATAGAGATTGACATCCTCTCCACTGCAGACAGTATGTGTCCAAGTTATCATTTATAAGCATGTTTGCTTTGGTATAATGCAGAATACAAAGTAAACAAGAAAGATAGGTGTTCCAAGAAAACATCTGTAGATTTTAATAAAACCATTAAAAGCTTCAGGTAAGTTCCCCTGGTATCCAGTAGTGACAGGATGTTACATATATCATAGGGCCACTAGGCTTATCCTTTGAGCATTTCAGGGAATCACTCATGTTAAATAGAATTTTATGCTAAATAGTATTTCTGGGAATTATTTATGCCTGGTATAATTTTATAGACTTGGAGGGCTGGACGCTCCCTTAGAGATCAGTTATTGTAAGGCACTCATTTATAGTGTTGGCAGTTACTATCTTTGGAGGTGGCATTCTAATAGTCTTATTTTTTATATTATATATTTTTATAATGCTTAATTTTTTATAAGAATACATCACACATAATCAGAAAAATAAAATTTAAAAACGGGAGTCCCTGGGTGGTTGACATACTTAGCTGCTAACTGAAAGGTTGGTGGTTCAAGTCCATCCAGAGGCACCTCGAGAGAAAGGCCGGTGATCTACTTCTAAAAAATCAGCCATTGAAAATCCTATGGAGCACACACAGCTCTATTCTGACACACATGGGGTTGCCAAGAGTTGGAATCAACTTGACAGCAACTTTTTTTTTTTTTTTAATTCTTCCCAAGACAACTCAATAGGGGAAGGCTAGTCTTTTCAACAAATGGTGACTGAACAACTGGATATCCACAAGCAAAGGAATGAATTTGGACCCCTACCTCATCCCATATACAAAAATTAACTCAAAATGAATCATAGACCATGTTAGATTAAAAGTATAAAACTCTTAGGAAAAATATAGGAGTAAATCTTGCGTTAGGCAAACGCTTCTTAGATACAAAACCCAAAGCATATGCAACAAAAGAGAATAAATAAATTGGACTTCATTAAAATTAAAAACTTCCGTGCTTCAAACAATACAATCAAGAAAATGAAAATACAACCCACAGAATGGGAGAAAATACTTGCAAATCATATATCTGATAAGGATCTAGTTTCAGAATACAAAAGGAACTCTTACAACTCAACAATAAAAAGACAAATAACCCAATTAAAAACTGGGCAAAGGACTTGAACAGACGTTTCTCCAAAGAAGATATACAAATGGCCAACAAGCGTGTGAAAAGATGCTCAACATCATTAGCCATTAGGGAAATACAAATCAAAACCACAATGAGATACCACTGCACACCCACTAGGATGATGCCTATATTCAAAAAGATAGGTGATAACAAGTGTTGACAGGGATGTGGAGAAATTGAAACCCTCATACAGAGCTGGTGGGAATGCAAAATCATACAGCCACTTTGGCAAAGTCTGGCAGTTCCTCAAAATGTTAAACTTAGAGTCACCGAACGACCCAGCAATTCCACTCCTAGATATATACACCTCTCAAAGGAAAACATACATCCACACAAAAACTTGTACATGATATGGTCATAGCAGCATTATTCATGATAGCCCAAAGTGGAAACAACCCAAATGTCCAACCATGATGAATAAATAAATAAAATGTGGTATTATTCATACAATGGAATATTACTTGGTGTCTTAATTATCTAGTGCTGCTATAACAGAAATACCACAAGTGGATGGCTTTAACAGAAAGAAATTTATTTTCTCACAGTCTAGGAGGCTTGAAGACCAAATTCAGGGTGCTAGCTCCAGGAGAAGTCTTTCTCTCTGTGTCAGCTCTAGGGGAGCTTCTCAGTGCACAGACACTGGGTCCAAAGGACGTGCTATACTTCTGGCTCTTGTTTCTTGGTGATATGAGGTCTCCATGTCTCTCTACTCGTTTCTCTCTTTTATATCTCAAAAAAGATTGGCTTAAAACACAACCTAATCTTGTAGATTGAGTCCTTCCTCATTAACACAACTGCCGCTAATCCCACCTCGTTTACATCATAGAGATAGGATTTACAACACATAGGAAAGTCACATTAGATGACAAAATGGTGGACAATCACACAATAGTGGGAATCATGGCCTAGCAAATTTAACAGATTTTTGGGGGGACACAATTCAATCCATGACACTTGGCAATAAAAAGGAATGAAGTACCGATACACACTGCAACATGCACCTTGAACATACTGTGCTAAGTAAAGAAGCCATTCACAAGAGTACACGATTCCATTCACATAAAATATCCAGAGTACACAAATCTCTAAGAGGCAGAAAGTAGATTATTAGTTGCCTAGGGCTAGGGGTGTGGAGACATGGAATGGGGAGTGACTGCTAATGGGTACGGGGTTTCTTTTTGGGGTGCTGAAAATGTTCTAAAATTAGATTGTAATGATGGTTTCACAACTCTGCCAATATACTAAAAACCACTGAATTGTACACTTAAACAGGTGAATTGTATGATATGTGAATTATATCTTAATAAAGATGTTAAAATTTTTAAAATGGGTATTCCACTAAATTGATGCAATACGATTTAAGGTGATATTCTATTCATTCATTATTAGACACTGAGGATATTTTCAGGTTGTCACTCTGTTAAGTAATAATTTAAAACCAAATACTCCATTTCATAACAAGTTGGAATTGTAGGAGAGGGCTTATTATGGAAGCAGGGTGGGGTTAGCTAGGTTTTGAGGGCTTCCTGGGGCTTGGACATTTTGAATAATTCTGCAGGCTCAGGGGGCATAAGGGCTGTCCCTAGTTGTTGGGTACCTGGCCCCAAGGCAATTAGGATAAGTGCATAGTGGCCAAGGAGTATGAGAATCTGGTAAGTGGTTGGATAGTAGACTTAATCAGCTGCTCAAAAAAAGGAATGGACTGGCTTCCAGCCAGGTACTCAAAACTGGGTCAAGACGTATTTAAAGAAAGAAAACGGTATTCCAAACCTAGGGTTGATATGGCAAATTTCTCCATAATGTCCTCAGGACCCCAGGCTCCTTCGGGTCCACTGCTTTGCTAACCTTAGGGTGTAGTTCTTCCTCTCATGGTTCAAGATGGCAGCTATCATATCCTCATTCTAGTTATCAGGATGGAAGAAGAGACAGAAAGAATACGAGTAGAAAGAAAGGGGGACAAAGGGTGGGCATCAGATATCTTAAAGGAAAGTTCTCAGATACCATTTCCATTGTACATACATTGGCCAAAATTTTGTGACATTGTCATACTTAATTTAAAGGGAGACTGAGAATGTGGACTTTATCTCGGTAGCATGTGCTCAGATATAAATTAGAGGTTTTATCATCAGGAAAGAAGGGAGAAAGATATTCAGAAACAACTAGCAGACTCTGCCAGAGACTCATACCTTATCTGATGGTACAAAACACTACCAAAAACTAGAGAGAAAAAATAATCTGGTCACAAAGGATGAAAGAAATAATATGAAATAAAACTACACACTAAATTTAACAGTATGAGAAATGCCTATGCGTAATAGTTAAAAGCATTGGAGGAAACACATCTGTGCAAAGGGTGGAGAAATAACCAAAAGTTCTAAAGGTGGAGGGAATATTTTTTGATAAGACAGGGGCCAAAGGCAATATTGATCAGGTATTTTATGGCAAATAAAAAGAAACAGTTTAAATGAGCAATAATTGAACTCATACTGTTTCTCACTTCCCATTAAGACAATAAACTTAACAAAACAAATAGTTTATCTTTGCCTATTTTATTTCTTCATATGCTTTCAACTCCTGAAAGATTTATGTTATCAATTTTATTGCTTTTGGCAGTATTTCAAGGCTATATATTGCATCTGGCTTTTTCTATATATACATAAAGACATAATCACTTTTGTCTGAAAACAAGTGTAGTTATGATTCACTATGTTAACACATACATACTGTGTATGTCAGAAAAATTTCCTAAATACTGAATATTCTCTTCCAAGAAATCCCAATGTACACAACTTGGTGTAAACTTATTTAATCCTTTTAATAATTAAGATCCACAAACAAGCTTGGCACCTATATAAGAAACATAGTCAACTGAACGAAACTAAGATAAAGTGTCGAAAGATATTGTTTAATTCAGGAAAAGATTACTAACATCTAGTCTTTTTCTATTAACAAGTTCAGAAGGGTTTTACCACAGATGTGAATATAAATAAAAATTATATGGGAAAAATAAAAACTCTAAAATGCTGATGCTGAGGTAGTGCTAAAATTTTATATTATGAAATTAGAGTCATGGGAAAAAAGCCAGGACCCACATACACTCAAATGAATCTAAACATTAAAAAGAAGTGTACATTTTTTAGTCACCCTAGGCAAGTCACCTCTCAAGGCCTTCATTTCAGAAACCATGCACAAATGAAGTCTGAATTATTAAAATGTTTTATTTCTCAATTTTAAGAGAGAGAAATTACTCCATATTTTTAAAGTCAGAAACAGTAATTCAGAACTCAATTATAGCATTCTAAACTTTCTTAAATGACTAGAATCATAAAAGTTAGCATCCGCAATATTAAACCTTGAAATACATGTGATATATACATACATATATATGTAATCAGAATGTTCATACCAAAAAAGCATTTGAGAGAGAACTTTTTATGAAGCATGTTTCAATGACAATTACTCCATAAAAGCTGTGCACTCAGAATTTGTGAACGCAATGTTAGAAGCTGAGGGAAAAATCCAGCCCAAATGCCATTACACAGAGCCAGAAAGATTCTGAATTTCCTAAAGACACATTTTGAGGAAGAAAAAGGTGAATTCTTCCCCATTTTCCCATCCCCTAGTCCCAAAGGGGAGCATTTTAAATTATGCACATCTTTGTTAATATTTTATAGAAAATACTAGTGCCCAGATATAAAGACAATTTAACTTAGTATTTCCTCTTCAATTTGTTTTTTATAGCAGACATGTTAATTTCATTTTGAACGTGGTATGCTAAATATCCTGAGCTTCCAGGAATGAAGTCATGTAGCTCTCCAAGGAATTTCTTCATGGCATCAATTGATATATAACCTATAAAATAAAAAAATATAGATATATTTAAGTCCTATCATGCTATCTATTTTCCAGTGTTTTTGATTTATTACAGTTAAGGTTTCTAAAGAAATTTTTTTTTAAAGAAGTGAAAAGAAATAATAACAATGAGAAGAGAGAAGACTCTCCATGAAACCCAATAATTATCAGGGAATTCCACCCCACCCCCCAACCCTTGCCTCTTTTAAGACACAAATACTTGATTAATCACTTTGACTACTGAGAGTGTGATCCAGGTTGGGGCTGCAGCATAAAAGTACCTAGGTCATAATGACTGGGAAGTGTGTCTGGCTTAGGGTATAATTACTTAGAACTATTATCCAACTAGCTACTAACAGCACACACTGCTCATCTTCTCTAGGAGAGCGGTCAACACTTTCCTGCATGGCCAACACTGGGATAACATTGTTTCACACAAAAAAATTAATGGGAAAATCTATATTATTGCTTAGTCAACAAAGGGTATGAGTGTGAATAATTTTGATGTCATTAATAATCTAAAATAAATATGAGGACTATCAAAAGGAACACCTAGAGTGGGAAAAGCTTAAGGACTCAATGACTTTAAGCAACACTAACTTGATAGCAGTTGCTCACTATTTGAAAGATTATATTTTATGTGTAATGTTAAGTGTTTGTGGTTTATACTAAAACTGAAACCTAATTTAAAAGTAAATACCATATTAAAGATATAATCAGTTCAAGAATGACTGAATTTAGAGCAACTCCACCATCAAGATCAACAGAGTATCTACGCATACAGTTTGATTGTTTATAATAGTAAATAATAAATTCAGTTAATATATTAACTGTGAATCTAATCATATAAAATTGATTAGTATCTTTAAAGACATTTTAATCATATTCATTTACTTTAGAGGATCTCTTGAAGCACTACTGCTATACTCCACATGAGTTCACAATCTTTGCCTAATGGCTAAGTTTCTGGGTAAAATAAACTAGTGCAGAAAAATAGTAAAGCTTAGTTAATTGCACATATACACTGTGCAAAGTTTCTAAAAACATGTGTGAGGAGAATAGAAATAACAGCTGTTGTTGTTAAGTGCCATGGAGTCAGTTCACAACTCACAGCAACCCTATGTATGACAGAATGAAACACTGCTTGGTCCTGTGCCATCCTCACAATAGTAGGTATGTTTGAGCCACTGTGTCAATCCATCTCATTGAAAGTCTTCCTCTTTTTCGCTGACCCTCTACTTTACTAAGCATGATGTTCTTCTCCAATGACTGGTCCCTCCTGATAACATGTTCAAAGTAAGCAAGACAAAGTCTTGCCATTCTTGCTTCTAAGGAGCACTCTGGCTATTCTTCTTCCAAGACAGATTTGTTCATTCTTCTGGCAGTCCATGGTATATTCAATATTCTTCGCAAATACCATAATTCAAATGTGTCAATTCTTCTTATGTCTTCCTTTTTCATTGTTCAGCTTTCACATGCATATAAGGCAACTGAAAAGCCCATGGCTTGGGTCAGCCACACCTTAGTCATCAAAGTGACGTCTTTGCTTTTTAAGATTTTGAAGAGGTGTTTTGCAGCAAATTTGCCCAATGCAGTACATCATTTGATTTCTTGACTGCTGCTTCCATGGGCATTGATTGTGGATCCATGTAAAATGAAATTCTTGGCAACTTCAATATTAACTACTACATCAATAAAAATACTACTGTGAAGGATGGGACATTTATAGCATCAGAAATGGGTTATAGCAGCAGTTTGAAACAGTTATGACTTCAGGTTGAAATTGAAAGAAACGTAATTTAAACTAGCTTAAACAAAAGGGGAATTTACTGGACATTGACATGTCAACTAAGCTGTGAGGAAAGCAGGCATATTGCTGAACCTTAGGAGTAACTGAACCAGCTATCATGGCTCTCTCACGGGTCTCAATTTTTTTATCTGCATGTTAGCTTCATTTTCCTGTCTTGAGGCAAGTTGGCTTTCTTTACATGGTAGAAAACATGGCTACTGATAGCCCCCAAGTTTTATGTCTTAGAACCATATTAACTGAACAAGAATGACTGGATTCACTGGTTCCATGTGTAAAAATCCAGAGAAAGAAAACTGTGAATAGTTAGGTGCCGTCGAGTTGGTTCCGACTCATAGCGACCATATGTACAACAAAACAAAACACCGCCCGATCCTGTGCTATCCACACAGTCATTTTCATGCTTGAGTCCATTGTTGCAGCCACTGTGTCTATCCATGTCGAGGGTCTTCCTCTTTTTTGCTGAACATCTGCTTTACCAAGCATGATGTCCTTCTCCAGGGACTGGTCCCTGTTGATAACATGTTCAAAGTAGATGAAATGAAATCTCACCATTCTCACTTCCAAGGAGCACTCTGGCTGTATTTCTTCCAAGACAGACTTGTTCGTTCTTTTGGCAGTCCGTGGTATATTCAATATTCTTCATCAACACCATAATTCAAAGGCATCAATCCTTCTTCAGTCTTCCTTATTCATTGTCCAGCTTTTGCATGCATATGAGGTGACTGAAAACACCATGGCTTGAGTCAGGTGCACCTTAGTCCTTAAAGTGACAACTTTGCTTTTAAACACTTTAAAGAGGCCATTTGCAGCAGATTTGCCCAATACAATATGTCATTTGATTTCTTGACTGCTGCTTCCATGGGTGTTGATTGTGGATCCAAGTAAAATGAAATCTATGACAACTTCAATCTTTTCTCTGTTTATCATGATGTTGCTTACTGATCCCGTTGTGAGGATTTTGATTTCATTATGTTGACGTGTCAGCCAAACTGAAGGCTGTGGTCTTTGATCTTCATCAGTGAGTGCTTCAAGTCCTCTTCACTTTCAGCAAGTAAGGTTGTGTCATCTGCATATTGTGGGTTATTAATGAGTCTTCCTCCAATCCTGATGCGTGGTCTTCATATAGTTCAGCTTCTCAGATTATTCGCTCAGCATACAGATTGAATACGTATGGTGAAACGATACAACCCTGACACACACCTTTCCTGACTTTAAACCATGCAGCATCCCCTTATTCTGTTCAAATGACTGCCTCTTGGTCTATATACAGGTTCCTTATGAGCACAATTAAGTGTTCTGGAATTCCCATTCTTTGCAATGTTATCCATAATTTGTCATGATCCACACAGGTAAACATCTTTCTGGTATTCTCTGCTTTCAGCCAAGATCCATCTGACATCAGCAATGATATCCCTTGTTCCACGTCCTCTTCTGAATCCGGCTTGAATTTCTGGCAGTTCCCTGTCGATGTACTGCTGCAACTGCTTTTGAATGATCTTCAGCAAAATTTTACTTGTGTGTGGTATTAATGATATTATTCACTCCCAAAGCAACTGTTGTGAAGGGCCAGTGCAGTCACTAGAGGGATGTGGGGGTACCCACCGCACTCCCTGACACTGTCAGAGGTGGTGACGCCAAAATGACCCCAGGATCTGTGGCAGCACCCAGAGGAGGGGCTGCCAAGGTAGTGGAGTCACTAGGGTTGGTGTTACCCGTCACCAGTGTGGTAACTTGTCACTTCCCACCTCCCCTCACCCCCCCCTTCACCAGCCAGTCAGGGTGCAAGCAGCTGCACGGCAGCATCCACCATTGGGCAGAGAGAAGGGTCTCCACCTTGGTTAGTGGGAGAGGGGAGGAGCTGCGTGGAGCCATGGGGATGGGGCTGGGACAGGCGCGGTGGGCCAAGCGGCACCAGTGCTGGGCTCTGTGTGGAGGTGGGCCAGGCCACTCCACCCATGGGGGGTTAAGGGAAACCATAAATTACTGCACTGGGTGACACCAACCCTAGTGATGCCACTGTGAAGGATAGGGCAGGGGCAAGGTCATGTTTTATAAAATGACTGTTTTTGTGTTATCCAGATGAATTGGGAAGAAGAAAGAAGAGTTCCTTGGGAAAGGCATTCTTGGCAGACAGTCCTATAGGTGTCTGTGATAGCCTCCCAGATGGCTCCAAATGATCCCTGCCTCCTGGTATGCACTTTTGTAGTCCCCTTCCACATTGTGCTTCGGTTGTTCTATATGATGGCACGTCACTTCTGAGATTAGGGTATAAAAAAAGACTGTGGCTTCTGTCTTGGGCACACACTTTCTCTCTGGAATTTCTCACTCTGGGGAAAGCGAACTACCACACTGTGAGCATCTCTTAGGAAAAGGCCTACTTGGCGAGCAGTTGAAGCCTTTGTCCAAAAACCAGCAAGGAGCCAAGGCCTGCCAACAACCACATAAATAAGCTTGGGAGTGGATTTTCCAGCTCTGGTTTCACCTTGAAATGACTGTAGCCCCAGCTGACAACTTGACTGCAACCTCATTAGAGACTCTGAGACAGAACTACCCAGCTAAGATGCTCCTGGATTCCTAACCCTCAGAAACTATGAAATAATACATGTTTGTTGTTCTAAGTTGCTAAGTTTTGGAGCAATTTATTACACAGCAATAGATAACTAATATAGTATCTATTATAGGTTTCCAAACTTTTAATTATCAGAATCCTTTGGCTTGAAATTTTTTGCCTGCAAGATATTTACAATTATTACTAATTGTTTTCTTACTTTTAATAATCACACATGTCAATCAGAACTTCTTATGAGTAATAACCAGTGATATCATACTGAGGGAATTTACTTCCAGTCAAAAGGAAAAAACAAACAAAGCAAACCCCTTGATATTTTAGGGGACATTTGGGAATGTCTGGACATATATTTGGTTGTCACAATGTGGGGGAGGGGTGCTACTGACATCTAGTGGGTAGAGCCATGGATACTGATAAGCATCCTACAATGCACAGGAATGAACCCACAACAAGGAATTATCTGGCCCAAAATGTCAACAGTGCTGAGAATGAGAAACCATGTTCTAGGGCATAACTCCAACCTGTATTTACTATAGGCAAAGAACTCAATTAATTCCATTTTCAGAGATTTAAGTCATTGAGTTTAACCCAACCTATAAAGGGAAGAGACAAAAATTGATACCACAGCTCCAATTAGAACTCTTACTCACTAAACGTTTAATTAACACAAGCTGACTTTTCCAACAAGAGTTATTCCTTCCTGTACAGAAGATGGCATAATAAAAAAGGGAAGTACTTGTCAATTCACATCTAAATTAAAGATAAAGAATTATCTAAAAAATGAAACTTTATTCCAAGAAAATACTATTAAAATATTTAATGTAGAAATACAAAGAAAGGAAATAATTATTCAACTGAGCGGATGAAAAGATCAGGAAATTTTACTTTAGTTCTACCTATAAAACCAACAACAGGTTACTACAGGTTAAAATTATACTTAAAAAATTCTGATTAATGATTATTCCTAGTTTTTTTTTTTAGTTTGTTTTTAAATAACACTGTCATTTTTTTGAACAATTTCTTTATCCAGCAATGAAACACAGAGCAGCATTGTTACATTTACTAACCTAAGTATATATCTTTATTATATGGTTAAGATTAATACTTATCATTGCTCTTTTTAATATGTTATTAAACATTTGGTTAGTTCAAATGAACATTAGATACTTTGTAACTGGTACAAAATCTAATACTAGTAATATCCCACAACCATGGTTTAAGGTACCTGTATTTTATCTGAATATTTAGGCCTAGGGATTTTAGACAAGCAAGAACAAATTGGGGCAGCAATCTTAAGATTTAAGTACTTCTACTTAGTTCACTGGAAACCCTGGTGGTGTACTGGTTAAGAGCTAGGGCTGCCAACCAAAAGGTTGGCAGTTTGAATCTACCAGCCGCTCCTTGGAAACTCTGTGGGGTGGTTCTACTCTGTGCTATAGGGTCACTATGAGTCGGAATCGACTCGATGGCAACGCATTTGGTGTTTTTTTTTACTTAGTTCATTATCCTTTGCTCCTGAGAGTCCCAGGACTGATTTTTCTACTGTCATGGCTGGGTAGCAGTTTTCTTTGATTTCTCCAAGACTCAGCCCAAAACTACACATTAAAAGTTCTTTATTAAGTGCTTTTCTAAAGGCTATTTTCTATTACTCAAATGAACAAGAAGGAAAAGAATGATAAACAAATGGCTAGAAGAAATGATTAGATGGGATAGTGATATCAAAGAAGACAGTAATTTGTAGACTAGTTGTAAGAAGTAGTTTTGATACTGCTAAATGAAGAGAAAAATGATAAATACATAAATAATGTTCAAAAACCTATACTTATAAAATTGCTGTATTAAAAAAAATTTTTTAACCTATTTTTTTAAACTGTTACCAATGACCCCACTGAATACTGTCCAGATGAAAGTATTCACTCAGCACTATCCAAATTCCAGTGGCCACTTTTCAACTGGTTTCCTTGGTTCTAGCCCCTCAATGTCAGTCTCAGTCGTCTTCTCTTTGTGTAGGGCACTAAGGTGGGAAACCCAAACACTGAGTCCATGAACACCTGGGTGATCTATGAATGGGCTCCTGAGCATCTGTGAGCCTTTAAAATTATACGTACAGCTTGTGTATGGGTGTGTGTGTGTGTGTGTGTGTGTGTGTGCGTGTGTGCGCGCGCTAGAGAAAGGGCCTATGTTTCATCAGATTCTCAAAGGAGACTATGACTGGGGTTGTCCGTATAGTTTATCTTCCAAATTGGGGCACTGCAGAGTAAAAAACTGATGCCAGGGTAAGGGCACAAACTGGGACTGACTCAGGTAAACAGGGACGTGTGTTCACTCTACCCTCAGACTACTGTTGTAGCACAGAAAATATGGGGCTTATCATTGGGTCAATTTTGCAGTTTAATTTATTTAATACGTGAATGATGTCTCCTCCATTACTGTGTATAATAAAGGGGCCTCTATTTGCTAGGCATTTGAAGTATAACAACAGTTTCATTCTACATCATGTTCCCTTGTTTCTTCCCTATCTGAGTTTACTCTAAATTTTATTTTGAACTACCTGTTACCATGTTGTTCACTGGGTAATTCTGAAGAGGGAAGTACATCTGCTTTTCTACAACTGGAGTTCTTTTAAAATGCTCTTCTGTGCTGTAAAATGAAACATACAGAAAGTTACATTTATATATATATTTTTTTCTTGGATTTGCCTTATAAACAAGAAATTTTTCAAGGCAATATGTATAGTAATTTAACTGTTCTTTGATCAGACATCAGTCTTATGGGGTAAAAATGTTAAATGTGAACTTCTTTTGTGTTTCTAAGCAATCCAAGGGCCCATATAAATATTTTTGGTTTTGTTGGCCACATCACAAAACAAAATTATTAAGCATATAAGAGGCCTGGGTCTTTTTCTCAATATTCCTGAAAGTACAATAATTCAATAATACCTCGTGATTAGATAAAATACACACACACACATAATCTTAAATACGCCACAAGGAAAGTATAGTAGAATCCATTTTAAATGATCAGAGCTTTTTTTTTTTTTAAATTTAGCATTCAAATAACTGGAACTCTATTAACTGATACTTCCATACTTTACCACAAGTAATAAATGATGTCTGGGAAAACTATGAGGTACAATAAGATTCTGAAGTGACTTCTGAATTAGGAAAAAAAAAGTTGAATTATGCTTAGTGTGGTTGTGTAATATAATTATATTCTAATTTTTTTAAAGCTAAGCAGTTTTTACTTAGAATATTCTCTTTTCTGACTGTGCCAAATAACAATGGTTACTATATTTAGACTACATATAACCAATAGATAGCTGATAATGTGGTCTAATACAATTGCATAAAAATAAAAAACCCAATAATTTAAAAACTGGAGTCCTCCTGAAATTTATTATTTTCTCAAAAAAGTTTAAAATTACACAGAATGGTAGTAGAATGCTTTATTTTCAATTTTAAAAAATTAGATTTTATTTAAACTCTTTCAAGAGAACCTATAGCTCAGTTGGGTGAGATGCTACAAATAAAGCAAGTTAGTGCTCCCATAAATGTCAGGGACTAAAAAAGGATACTAATTATAATAATATGTATTATTTAACCTGGCTCTAAAAGCTCTGGCCAAGCAATGAGAGATGGGGCAGGGGAGGAAGAGATACCTACTGAAAAGGAAGAAGGAATGCTTTCATTATTTACACATGATATGCTTATGCACCCTGAAAAACCAAGAATCAAATGAAATATTCTTAGAATTTTAAAGAATTCCAAGTGGGTAGATATCAAACAAATACCCCCAAAATCAATAACCTTCATATATACCAGCTATAACTAATAAAAAATAAAATGGAAAAATTCATAATAACAATAAAACACAGAAAAATCTAGAAAAACCACAAGAAATCTGTGAGTCTATATGCATAAAAATAAAAAACTTTACTGCTAGAAAAGAAAACAAATAATGACCAAAAAATGCATCCTCATGGATAGGAATATTGAAAATTACAAAGATATCAATTCTTCTCAAATTTAAGTTTAATACAATTCTCAATAAAATCCAGGATTTTTTTTTGTATTTAAAAATTTTTTTAATTGCCAAGAAGATGTGCAAAACTTGGACATTTATATAATCCTGTGGAGGGCTGACCACACAATTGTGTCAATGCCTGGATATTTCTCCACTGTTGCTGTTGTTAGTTGATATCCATTCAATTCCGACTCATGGTGACCCCATGTGTGTCAGAATAGAACTGTGCTCCATTGGGTTTTCAAGGCTGTGACCTTTCAGAATCAGATCGATAGGTCTTTCTTCAACAGAGGACGCAGCAATGGGTGGAGCGAATCAGGAAGAAAATCAGCACCCAGACCCTATTCCGATGCTACAAGTCCAAAAAGAACCGTGTCACCTCGTGTTTCCTGGCTGCCTTCTAGAATTTTCCCTCCCCAATATGCTTTCTCGGCCACCATCTTGCTGCCCAAATCACATATAAGCCCTGCTTCCCCGTAGCTCGGGAAGCCAGATCTAAGGAACTTCCTCCCGGCTCCATGCTCTGCGCGTTGCAATAAAGTTACTTTCTCTTTCTCAGAAACCGATGTCTACATCATTAGCAGGTCTGAGCATCTGGACAAGGATCCACCTTCTCAGGTTTGGGAACATTTTTACGTTCCAGGTGGGAGACCGGGGTTCCATACCAATATACCCATTCCTGGCACTTCATATGGAGCAATTAGCTAACATTTCCCTTGTTTTGTTTAACCTGGAAGGAGGAGGAGGAAAACAAAGAAGGTACTGTTTGTCCTGTGTGGAAATATACTCAAAACAAATTGATAGAAGTGAATGTTCTCATATTACCTTAAGCAGTCTACTTGACTACATTGTCTAAATGATCTTAAGTTGTTTATAAAATGCAGAAAGGCAAATAAAACATATTGCATCCAAACATTTGTGGAGATCTTTTGGATTTTGCTTGATTTTTTTAATTATCAGTGAGGACTGCATTTATTGGAAAATAGCCAGAATTCACACAACTGTGTTCGTCATATTTTAAAAAATGTCTGTGCTCAAGTTTTGAGTCAGTAAAATACTCCATCTTCCTGTAAGTCAGTTCAGTGGAAGAATGTGAGTAATATTTATGGCATGTAATTCATCTCAAAGAAAATTGAAATTAGTTTACCATTGTTTTCTTTTTTTTTTATTGTTGTGCTTTAAGTGAAAGTTTACAATTCAAGTTAGTCTCTCATACAAAAAGTTATACATACATTGTTTTGTGACCCTACTTGCTTTCCCTATACTGTGACAGCACACTCTTCCTTTCCACCCCAGACTTCCCGTGTCTGTTCAACCAGGTCCTGACCCTCTCTGCCTTCTCATTTCACCTCTGGACAAGAGTTGCTCATTTAATCTCATATATCTACTTGAGCTAAGAAGCACACTCTCCACAAATATCATTTTATGTCCCATAGTCCAGTCTAATCTTTGTCTGAAGAGTTGGCCTTGGGAATGGTTTTAGTTTTGGGCTAAGAGGGCCTGGGGGCCACGTCTTCCAGGGTCCCTCCAGTCTCAATTGAACCGTTAAGTCTGGTCTTTTTACTAGAATTTGAGTTCTGCACCCCACTTTTCTCCTGCTCCATCAGGGACTCTCTGTTGTGTTCCCTGTCAGGGCAGTCATTGTGGTAGCCGGGCACCATCTAGTTCTTCTGGTCTCAGGCTGATGAAGTCTCTGATTTATGTGGCCCTTTCTATCTCTTGGGCTAATACTTTCCTTGTGTCCATGGTGTTCTTCATTCTACTTTACTCCAGGTGGGTTGAGACCAATTGATGCATCTTAGATGGCCGCTCGCCAGCTTTTAAGACCCCAGACGCCACTCACCAAAGTGGGATGCAGAATATTTTCTTAAAAAACTTTGTTATGCCAATTGACCTAGATGTCCCCTGAAAGCATGGTCCCCAGACCCCTGCCCTTGCTACTCTGTCCCTTGATGTGTTTGGCTGTATTCAGGAAATTTCTTAGCTTTGGTTTAGTCCAGTTGTGCTGACCTCCCCTGTAGTGTGTGCTATCCTTTCCTTCACCTAAGGTAATTCTTGTCTACTTTCTAGTTAGTGAACACCTATCTCCATCCATCCCTACCCTCGTACTCGTAACCATCAAAGAAGGTTGTCTTCTGTGTTTAAACTTTTTCTTGGGTTTTTATAATAGTGGTCTTATACAATATTTGTCCTTTTGCGACTAAGTTCACTCAGCATAATACCTTCCAGATTCCTCCATGTTATAAGATGTTTCACGGCTTCATCATTGTTCTTTATTGTTGCATAGTATTCCATTGTGTGAATATACCATAATTTGTTTATCCATTCGTCCGTTGATTAGCACCTAGGTTGTTTCCATCTCTTAGATATCATGAACAATGCTGCAATTAACATGGGTGTGCGTATATCTATTCGTGTGATGGTTCTTAATTCTCTAGGATATATTCCAAGGAGCGGGATTGCTGGATTGTATGGTACTTCTATTTCTAACTTTTTAAGGAAGTGCCAAATCGATTTTCAAAGTGGTTGTACCATTTTACATTCCCACCAACAGTGTATAAGTGTTCCAGTCTCTCCACAACCTCTCTAGCATTTATTTTGTTGTTTGGATTAATGCTAGCCTTGTTGGGGTGAGATGGTATCTCATTGTAGTTTTGATTTGCATTTTTCTAACGGCCAATTGATCGTGAGCATTTCCTCACGTGTCTGTTAGCCGCCTGAGTGTCTTTTTTGACGAAATGCCTGTTCATATCCTTTGCCCATTTTTTAATTGGGTTGTTTGTCCTTTTGTTGTTGAGGTTTTGCAGTATCTTATAGAAAATCTAGGATTGTAGAGCTTAAGAAAAATAATTATAAATTTCACCTGAACAATGAGTTAGAAAATCTAATAGCATACAAGTATGAGAAAAATAAATATCTAGGAATAATTTTAATAACAGAAGCACAAGATGTATATGAAGAAAATATGAAAAAATTCCTTGGGGGCCACAAAAGAGAACTTGAATTAAGTGGGGAAAAAATGCCATTTTTTTGGATAGGAAGACTCAGCATCACAGATATTCTTTCTAAATTAATCTATAAATTTTTTGTAATGCCAATAAAAATAGCAACAGGATTTTTATTTTTTGGAACACGAACAAACTGATTCTAAAATTCAGATGGAAAAATAAACCAGAAAGAATAGCCAAAAATTTCTGAAGAAGAGTAAGGAAGAAAAACTAGCTCTAAATATTTGGTCATATTATAAATAATTAAAACAGAATGGTACCAGTATATGACAGATAAATGGAATAGAACAGAAAGTCCAGAAATAGACCCAAACACATACAGGAACTTAACATACAATAAAGGTGGCATTTCAAGACAGTAGAAAAAAAGATGAATTATTCAATTCAATACCTACAAGTGGGTGGCTATATGGAAAAAAATAAAGATGGAGTCCTATCTCACACTTTACACCGAGATATATTCCAAAAAGATCAAAGATTTAAATTAAAAAACAAAGAAACTATATATAAATTACACATGTAAAAATTGTTGAACTGGCAAATGTTTTGTTATATATATTTTTACCACAATAAAAAAAATAGTAAATAAAAGAAAAAGAAACCATAGGAAAATGTTTTTATAACATTAGAATGGGAAGATTTTCCTAAGTATGACACAAAACACAGAAAGCCATTCAATACTGGTAAGTATCACTCTGTACAATTAAAAATTCCTGCATGATAAAACCCAACACATTTAAAGTCAAAAGACAAACAACAGGTTATGAAGATAATTGTACTTTATTTTACGAAGAACTAATTTCTCCAAAAAATAAAGGGTTTCTAGCAAAACAAAACAAAACTCAACAGTAAAATGTGCAAAGGATGTGAACAAACAGTTGACAGAAAAGGAAATACAAAAGGTTCTTGCACATATAAAAAGATGTTCAACCCCACACATAATAATAGCGATACAAATGAAACTAGTGTGAGATACCATTTTACACCTATCAGACTGGCAAAGAACAAAACATTTAATAACACAATGTTGGAAAAGGTATAGCGGAAAGTAGGGGCACCAGCCGTCCCAGTTTGCCCTAGACTGAGAGGTTTCCTGGGGCATGGGGATTTTCAGTGCTAAAACTGGGACAGTCCCAGGCAAACCAGAATGGTTATTCTAGCCTGGAAAAAGCACTTGTATACACCATTAGTAGGAGTGTAAATTGGTTTCAGCTTTATGGGGGGCAATCTGACAAGACCTATCAAAGATACAAATGTACATGCCTTTTGACATAGTAATTTCCTTTCTAGATATTACCCTACAGATACTCACACATACATGCAAAATGGTATGATTACAAGATTATTTACTGTAATTTAACAGCAAATTAGAAATGAGCTACAAGTCCATTAAAACAAGAGACTGATTAAATAAATTATAAATCCAAAACAGTGGAATATTATATAGTACAAAAATGAAAAAGCTCTGTATGTTGTGATATGGAATGCTCTCCCAGGTAAATTATTAAATGAAGAAAGGCAAGGTACAGAAAAACATTTATAATTTTTTACTATTTGTGGAAAAAAGGAGAAAAGAAATAATATTTACATGAATTTGCTAGTAAATGCATCTGCACGAAACTGGTAACATCGGCTGCCTCTGGGAGGAGAATTGTCTGGCTAGGAGTAAAGGAGAATGGAGACCTTTCACAGTACTCACTTTTACACATCTTGGATTTTGAACCATGTGAACGTATTACCGATGAAAAATAATTAAATTTTCAAAACAGAAAAATAATAAATAGGTACAAATAGCTAAGGAAAAAATTTAAAAGAAGAGGAATGAGTGTGAGACTTGCCTTCTTAGGCATTAAAACACATAAAGTTATGTAATTTAAAGGACTATTCCATTGATATAAAACTAGGTCCACAGATTAATGAAATAAAACAGTCTACAAACAGATCTTCATATACTTAAAAACAATATATGACCAAGAGAAGTCACAAATCAGTAAGAAATAGATTTATTATTTAAAAAAACTGATAGGAATTGCTTATTTGCAAAACAAATAAAAATAAATTTAGATCTTCACCTCATACCATACAACAAAACAAATATCTACAGAGTTAAAAACCTATTTATAAAAACTGAAACCACCAAAAAGATAGAAAAAAATTAGCTGACTACTTGCTCTCTGAATGAGAAAGGGCTTTTTTGATAATAAAAATAGAAGAAATTATAAAGGAAAAGTGATTAATGATGTAAAAATTAAAAGCTTGGAGTTCTCAAAAAATACAAACCAGACAACAAATTAAGGATACAATATGACACAAATATGGCAAAAGGATAATATAGCTATTATACAAAGATGTCAGACAAGTTGATAAGAAAAACAGTAAGACCCTAATAGAAAAATGGGAAAAGAAAATAAATAAATAAGCCACAGAAATGGAAATATAAAATGCTAATAAACAAATGCAAAAAGGTTCAAGCTTATTAGTAATCAAAGAAAAATGCAAATTAAAACAAGATGCTGCTTTTCATCTGTTAGCAAAAGATTTCTAAAAATAGTAATACTTAATGTGTTGGTGAGGATGTGATGAGACCAACACTGATGATTGCTTAAATTTGTTCTTTTGTGGGAAGCAACTGACAATATGCATCATAGCCTTTAAAAAAATTCAGATTTGTCTACAATGTAAATTCCACATCTAAGAGTTTATTAAGAAAATTGTCTACAGAGTTGAGAAATATTTATGAAAGATGTTCAAGAGGATGTCAAAAGAATAATAAATTGTAACCAATTAAAATATATAACAAAAAAAGAAGACCGTTAAACATATGGTGAAATATATACAGCCATTATAAATCATAATATCAAATAAGGTTTTGAACATAGGGAGCCGCCTATAGAATACTAAATGGAAAATCAAGAGACAGACTATATATGCAATAAGACCTCAACTCTATCAAATGTGTGTATTTGTATAAAATGAGAGAAATGTGCTAATGTTAATGGTGGTTATCTCTGAGTGATGGAATTGCTTGTAATTTTACTTATTCTTTTCCACATTTTCTATTCTGACAAATTGTATAATTACATTTGTAATAACAAAGTAATTAAAAACAAGAAAAATAAAAATTCATACAATTTTCAGAAGATTCTGGAAACATATTGGAGGGAAAACAGAATAGTGATTAAGAATGTGAACTATGGGTCAGCCAGACTTGTGTTCAAATTCAGCATCACTATCTGAATATTAGGAAATGATTTAGTGCTCTGAATCTGTTTCTTCAATTGTAAAATGGGAATAGTAATATTTATCTATCTCATAAGGTTGTGAGAATCAAATGAAATACTGGATGTGAACTGCTTAGCTCATAAATACATAGTATTTGGCAAGTGGTCAATAACTAGTTCATCACTTAGTAAGTGTTCAATATCAATAGTACTCTAACTAGTAGTATGCCAACAAAATAAATTCTTCTTGGGTAGGGCCAGACTATATTTTATCCATGTTCACACTGCACCCTCTGGTGGTTCCACAAAGAAAGAGCTCTAGGTAGAAACCTACCTAAGGTGTTTATTCATAACTTTTGTCCATTTTTGTTGTTGTTTTTGGATTAGACACATTTTTCCTAGATTTTTTAGACCTCTTTATATATTAAGGAAGTCAGCCTTTGTCAAATATTTCGCCCAGTGTATATTTTTCTTTTGACTTGGCTTACGGATTGTTTTTTGTTTTTGCCATGTACAAGTTTAAAATATTTTTGGTGGTCATATTTCTCAATCTTTTCCTTTATGGCCTCTGTGTTTTTGCAGTACAGATTCATTTAGCCATGAATGAAATTTAGGATTCTTTTCTTCTTCCACTCACCTTTCTACCCTTGTAATTAAAGGACAAAAAGTATGAAAATAGCAGCAGCAACAACATGAATTGGAGTGTGTTCTACGTTAGGTCCTTTGGGTTGTAAAAGGCAGACTTACTCAAGTTACCTGAGGAAACCACTTCAGTGTCTAAGAAAGAGGATACATATGGACTGGTCTAAGGCACAGTATCTCTCTCCCTCTTTCTATTTCTTTGGGGGCTGGATGGCCTTTACTTTTCTTTACACATATTTTCCATTCTCTTCTGTCCATCAATCAGCTTCCTTTGGTTCCTCTGTAGTTTGCATGTGGATTTGACTTGGTCTAACTCTAATTCCACCATTAAATGAAAATTCTTTCCATGTTTCTTGGTACCAATTTCAAGAGAATTAGCTCAACTCATCTGTTCAAGGCAGGCTATCCAAGGTATAGTTTGCTGGTCAGCTGATTGGAGAAGTTGTTCCTGGATCTGTTACTTCACTAGGTCCAATGAGCTGTGACTACAGTGGGGCGGGAGTCATATGGCTCACAACATTCCTTGCCGAAAGAAGGATCCATGGATGAAGTAGTGACTTATAGAAGGGGTTATGGGTGGATTTAATGCAAGGTATTATTACTATTTTGAACATTTTATAGTGCTTTAGGTAAAAGTTTACATAGCAAATTAGTTTTCCCATCAATATTTCATACACAAATTGTTCTGTGACATTGACAATCCTCACAGTGTATCAACACTCTCCCCATTTCTTCCCTGGATTCCCTGTTTCCATTCATCCGGGTTCTCTGCCCCGCCCTGCCTTCTCATCTTTGCTTTTGGGGAAACGCTGCCTTTTTTGGTCCAGTACAGTTGATCATTCTAAGAAGCACATTCTTCATGGGTGTTACTATTTATTTTATAGGTCAGACTATTATTTGGGTGAGAGGTAGCCTCCGGAAGTGTCTTTAGTTTCTAGTTAGAAGGTTGTCTTAGGGCAATAGTCTCAGAGGTTCCTCCAGTCTCTGTTAGACCTGTAAGTCTGGACTTTTTTTTTTTTTTTATGGATTTGAGTTATGTTCTACATTTTTCACCCATTCTAACGGGGACGTTCTATTGTGATCTAGGTCAGAGTGGCCAGTAGTGGTAGCTGGGCACCATCTAGTTCTGGTCTCAGATTAGAAGAGGCTGTGGTTTATGTGGGCCATTAGTCCCTTGGACTAATTGCCCTCTTGAGTCTTCAGTTTTCTTCGTTCTGCTTTGCTCCAGATGGGAAGAGATCAACAGTTGCACCATAGATGGACGCTTGTGAGCTTTTAAGACCTTGGATGTTATTCACCAGGATGCAGAACACTGTCTTTATGAACTGTGTTATTCCAATTGACTGAGATGATCCCTGAGATTATGGTCCTTAGACTTTAAGCCCAATAGCTCAGTCCCGTGAGGTGTTTGGTTATGTCTAAGAAGTTTCTATAACTGTGCACCCTACACGCTCTATTATATATATGAATATACATGGCTGCTCTTACAAATATGTATATAGAAATATCCACGACCATATCTATATGAGCACGTGGGTATAGTCCTGTACAACTTCTCCTGCCTATTTAACATACATACCTATGTATCCTCAGTAAATTACTGTCATTACTGTTGTTGCAGGATTGTATATGTTATAGTATTTACAATGGTTGCCCTTTATTCCTGCATACCTATCAGTATCTTCCTTTATCTTGGTCCAGTTGTGCTGACTTCCCCCATATTATGTATTGTTTTCTTTTCACCAATATTTCTAGCTTTGTTTATCTCTTCATGTGTTTGTTAGCCTCTTGAATGTCCTCTTTGGTGAAGTGTCTGTTCATGCCCTTTCCCTATTTTTTAATTGGATTGTCTTTTTGATGTTGAGGTGTTGAAGTTTTCTATAGATTTTAGAGATTAGACCCTTGTCAGATATGTCATTGCCAAAAATTTTTTCTCAGTCTGTAGAAAAAAAACTTTATTTTTTCTTTTTACTCTTTTGGAGAAGTTTTTTGATGAGCATAGGTATTTAATTTTTAGGAGGTCACAGTTATTTGGTTTATCTTCTGCTGTTTGTGTATTTTTAGTTATGCTTGGTAGTCTATTTATGCCATAAATTAGGGTCTCTAGCTTTGTCCCTATGTTTTCTTCCTTGAATTTTATTGTTTTAGGTTTTACATTTAGGTCTTTGATCCATTTTAAGTTAGTTTTTGTATATGGTGTGAGGTATGGGTCCTGTTTCATTTTTCTGCAAATGGATATTCAGTTTTTCCAGCATCATTTGTTAAAGAGACTATCTCTTCTCCATTTAATAGACTTTGGCTCATTGTCAAAGATCAGCTGTCCATAGGTGGATGAATTTACTTCTGGATTTTCAATTCTGTTCCATCGGTCTATGTGTCTGTCATTGTACCAGTACCAGGCTGTTTTTACTACCGTGGCTGTATAGTAGGTTCTGAGATCATGAAGTGTGAGGCCTCCTACTTTGTTCTGCTTCTTCAATAATGCTGGGCACCATCTAGTTCTTCTGGGGTCTCTTTCCTTTCTATATGAAGTTGGTGATTAGTTTTTCCATCTCGTTAAAGAATGTTGTTGGAATTTGGATAGGGATTGCATTATATCTACAGATCCCTTTGGGTAATATTGACATTTTCACAATGTTAATTCTTTATCCATGAGCATGGTATGTTTTTCCATTTATGTAGGTTTCTTTTGGTTTCTTGCAGTAGTGTTTTGTAGTTTTCTTTGTGTAAGGCTTTTACATCCCTCGTTAGATTTATTCCTAAGTATTTTATCTTTTAGGGGAGGGTATTATAAAT